GAAAATTAGAAAATAAATACAGTACAGTATGTCACCACGATAAGCAAATGGTACCATTTAAACACAAAAATAAAATAAATGGTAAGTGTTCTAAAATAAATTAGGTAAGTGTTCTAAATAAATTAGAAAAAAAAATAAATATCAAAACGGTAAGTGTTCTAAAATATACTCCCTCCGTCCGGAAATGTTCTTTCCGTGTTGACTTGGCACGCTTATTAAGGATTAGTAAAAAAATGCAAAATTTTCAAAACTGCACATACTATAAACTTTTAAATCTCCTTTTATTATTAAAAAAGTATTAAAAAAGTAGATTTGTGATAAAATATAAGGGTATTATTGATATTTAGCCTTAAAAAGCATACTAAAAAAGGAAATGGGAAGATTATTTCCGGACGGACCAAAAAGGAAAATGGGAAGAATATTTCCGGACGGAGGGAGTAATAGAGAATAAATACGGTACGGTAAGTAAATGATACCATTTAAATACAAAAATAAAATAGAAAACTGCAAATTTTTACTATCAATTAATACTACAATTTACAAGCATGGAAACATGTTAAAATGGTAAGTGTTATAAAATAAATTTAAAGATAAATATGGTACATTAAGTAAATGGTACCATTTAAATGCAAACATAAAAAAATTTATAAATTAATTGTATTAATACTATAAGCATGGAAACATGTAACAATGGTAAGTATTCTAAAATTAATACTATTAATTCTATAATTTACAAGCATGGATAAGTGTAAAAATGGTAAGTGATCTAAAATAAAATAGAAAATAAATACCATAGGGTAAGTAAATGGTATCGTTTAAATACGAAAATAAAACTAAAAAATACAAATTCCAAAATAGATATATTAATATGTTGAATTATTATTTAAATAAGTCAAATTATTGAATTATTGTCAGGGACAATATCTGAAACATGTTGAATTATTGTTATTACGAAAACCGGGATTTAGTCATCGGCAAGTGTTTGTTGCAGTTTAAAGAGTAATAAATCACAATGACTTGAAGATTCTGATATACAACGAAGTAAATGCCCACACGAATTATACGAGTGGTGTAGTTTATAAATAAGTTTTTCAAAATTTTTAAATCATTTTACTTTTGTACTTTAAAATAATGAAATTTCTATATTCCATTATATACCAATTTATATTCCTAAAAATGATCTTAATTTAGTACCGTAACTATGACCCGTGCAACGCACGGGTGTGATACTAGTCCACTTAGTTAAAAATTTGATTCATAAAAATGCTAGTCTAGAAATGCTAAGTGTTTATACCAATTTTATTTTTTCACTAATTGTTTGCTACAACATAATAAGTTTTATCATATAATTATATTTTATATAATTGTTTTCCTTTAATAATTTTATTTCGGTCAATACTATATTTATCTTTCACAAATTTGTTTATAAAACATTATCCCTCCTTTTACAAATTTTTGTCGATGTTTGACTGAAATTATTTTAATTCATTTTATATGATAATTATTTGGTATGCAATTAATAAATTAAAAGTAATAGATAAAAAAAGTACCCTGTATATATTTTAAAATTAATTTAAAACATCTACAAAATTAAAGATCACATGACTATATTATTAGATTATATTATTTTCTCAAATGAGAAACACAAAAAATGAATTAAGTTTAATGATGTAGCCGAATGAGACAAATTTTGTCATTTTATGTATCTCAACAAACAAAATCGGTCTAACATTCCTCTTATTGTTTTCAAATAAAAAAGTTATTAGGGAGTTTGACATGAATTTCCACAAAAAGAAGAAATAGTGGATGTTTCTCTATGTTTATAATGTTGGCCATGTGTTAGTGCCTGAGGTCCTACATATAAATTAGTTAAATCTACTTATAAGCAACTTTTAACTTATAAATCAGCTGATGATATGTTTTTATGTGCTTATAAGCTGCTTGTAAGTTAGAAAATATAAGTAGGTCTTAACTACTTATTTTTAAATTAGTTTTTTCGTTTCTCTGCTTTGACCAGATTTTTTACAAAATTGCACATCACCATTTATGAATATTTACAAATGATTTATCTATCATTTAAGTCATTTTACTTCCACAAAAGAATATTTGACTTATAAGCAGCTTATAAATAAAAAACTATTTACCACAAATAAACCAATAAACATCAGCACAGAAAAACACCATCATAATTAAGCCCATATACATGAATAGTTAATTTGAGATATCTCCTCTATATAAATTTAAACTTAATGTAAGTGTGTAAAACTAAAATTTTAATAATGATAAATTTATGTTTAAGTTTTTTTAATGCTATTGACTTATTAGAATGTAATATCTGTTCATACATTTTTTTAACCTAATGACGAATAAAGAGCTTATGAAATAAAATTATTAATGGAAAGAAATAAATTTAATGTTTGGTTATGATACAATGAATTAGCTATATTAGTATCACACCTGTACATTGCACGGGTCATAGTTACGTTACTAAATTAAGATCATTTTTGAATGATATAAATTGGTATATAATGGAATATAGTGATTTCATTATTTTCAAGTATAAAAGTTAAATAATTTATAAATTTTAAAAGACTCTTTTATAAACTGCATTACCTGTACAATTCGTGTGAACATTCTCTTCGTTCTATATCCGAATTTTCAAGCCATTGCAATTTCCTACTTTTGAAACTGCAATATATAGTTGCCCATGACTAAATACTGGTTTCCGTAACAACAATTCAACATGTTTCAGATATTGCCCCCTGCTAATAATTCAATAATTTGACTTATCTGAGCAATAATTCAACATATTAATGTATTTATTTTTGAATTTATAGTTTTTTAATTTTATTTTTCATATTTAAATGGTACAATTTAATTACCCTACGACATTTATGTTCTATTCGATTTTAGAACACTTACCATTGTTACACGTTTCCATGCTTATTTTATTAATAATGTTAATTTATCATTTTTTTAATATTTAAGTGGTACCATTTGCTTACTGCACTGTATTTATTTTTTAATTTATTTGATAACACTTACCATTTTTACACGTCTCCATGCTTGTAAATTATAGTATTAATTAGTAGTTTCTCTATTTTATTTTTGTATCTAAATGGTACCATTTACTTATTTACCGTATTTATTTTCTAATATATTTTAGAACACTTACGATTTTGAGATTTATTTTAATTTCTAATTTATTTTAGAACACTTACTATTTATTTTATTTTCGTGCGTAGATGGTATCATTTGCTTACCGTAATGACGTACCGTACCGTATTTATTTTCTAAATAGAACACTTACCATTTTTAAACATTTTCATGTTTGTAAATTTTAGTAATAATATTAATTTGTTGTTTTTTATTTAATGTTTGCATTTAAATATGACAAAGTACTTACCGAACAACATTTATTTTCTAATTTATTTTAGAACACTTACCATTTTTAAATTTGTTTTATTTTCTATTTTCTTTTAGAACACTTACCTAATTATTTTAGAACACTTACTATTTTTTTATTTTCGTGTTTAAAAAGTTTACATGCTTGTAAATTATAGTATTAATATTAATTTGTAGATTTTTATTTTATTTTCGTATTTAAATGTTATCATTTACTTACCGTACCATATTTAGATTCTAATTTATTTTAAACAACCTACAACTTTTACACGTCCACGCTTGTAAATTATAATATTTTTTGAAATAAATCATTCTTTTGTAGTTTTTGAAATAATCATTCTAATCTTGCCCATACTTTATTAATTTGTAATTTTTTCATTTTATTCTCATATTTAAATGGTATCGTATTTTATTTCCGTACTATATCTCCTCAGTGGTTCACTACTATTTAATTTAATTTAATTTAAATACTTAAATGGTGTAGCAATTAAACAAAAATGAAAACATATTTAAAATGGAAGGAAAATATTGAGACAAAATAATTAAACTACCATTTGTGTTGTCAACACTTTCCATATATGTGTCTCACGTATGGCGGGAAACATTGAGGCAACATTAACTCTCTTTAAATAAAATATAGATTATAAAGAATTAGTGAAAAATTATATGATATCGTCACTCACTATTTTTACACTAAAAATTATGACCATGAACTACCATTTTGACATTAGCATTTTCTAATATTATACTTTCTACAAATAGACATGAGAGATTTTGAATAACAATGTAACACCCCGGCCTTCACTCTGGTCGAAAATAAATGCTTATAAGATTATACACTGGCCATACAAACCAGTACAAGTCTTTTCTTCACACTTTTTTTCTCAGAAAGTCACTCATTCTAGAATTGCTCCAAGTCCAAAATGTTTAATATTAGAAAATGCTAATGTAAAAATGGTAGCTTACAGTACCATAGTTTTTAGTGTAAAAATAGTGAGTGACGATACTGTATTATTTTTTCACTAATTTTTTTATAATACAGCTAATTCATTATATCATAAGCCAACATTAAATTTATTTCTTTTAGACTACTTTAATTTTAGAGTAATTTATTTTTTATTAATATTTAGAAATAGTAAGTTTGTGAGATTTGCAATCATTTTGTTTATAAACCAAACATTTCTTTTATTCCATAATCGGCATTTAAAATTGATGTTAACAAAATCTATGAACTTTGTAACATTTAAAAAAAATCTATGAACTTTTAAAATTTTAAACTAATCTTTTTATTCCATAATCGGCATTTAAAATTGATGTTAACAAAATCTATGAACTTTGTAACATTTAAAAAAAATCTATGAACTTTTAAAATTTTAAACTAATCTTGATGGTAAGATATACTCAAATTAAAATCTATCAATGAATCTAGAGAGCCTGAATTGAATATACCTCATTAATTCCATTTTTATTTATCCTAAACACTTTTTCATTTATTTCTTCCAAACTTTAAAATATACTCCCTATTTTATTTTTTCACATTCTAAAACTCATAGATTATATTACTATCTTGAGAACTCATTAGCATATTGGGAGAGCTACAAATATTTTTGGCTATCTTTTCCGGGCAGTTTATAAGAATCTGATTTTTGTTTTGTTTTGTACCGTTTGTTGTTGTTTTTCTCCTGCCGGAAACCACTCTCTTCATCCGCTCTACCACCAGCTTGGAAAGAATTTCCGCTGCCTTTCAAAGTCAAAAGCAGCACACACACCCTTCTCAGCTCTAATACCCCATTAATTTCTTCAGTTCTCTTCTGTATTCACACTCCAGAAGTTCTTCATCTTACCCCATTTCTCGATCGATCGATCCGAGGAAGAAGATGAAGAGCAGAGGCAGATTAGTAGGAGGCCGATGGCGGATCCCAGGGTTTCCCTTCGTCTTCCTCTTGTGCCTCTTCTTCTTCCTCGTCGGTTTCTTCGGGTCCTCCCTCTTCTCTCACAAGGTATCTGCTCGGTTCGTTCCTTCATATGTGTCAATTCTTGTGTGTTTAGGCGAAGATCGAACCTTTTTCTTGTTTGTCTTGAAAAGGATGAAGGAATTCTACGGCAAAGTCCTAGGATGCTGGGGGAGTCGGTGGAGGGTTTCAATTTGCTGCCCCACGGCGAGACTGGGGAGGATTCTCTTTCTCTGATCCCCTATCAGGTCTGTGTTTGGGTCTCTTTTTTTGTGCACTGTTTTAATAGATTGAACACATTTTAAGCTAGCTGGTGACTGCCAGTTATAATTGATAAGTTAGCTTCTTCATGCAGTGTTTAGTGGATTTTGGCTTTCTTGTTAGCTTGTCTTACAGATTCAAGATTTATATGGTTCAAATCACAGTTAGATTAGAGAGGATGGATTAAAGAGGGGTAGAATTAATATTTTTGATCTGTGTTGCCCGACTCTAGGAGGCCATTGGTATGGGAGAAAAAGTTACTTTCTCAATTCAATGAAACTGAGCAGTCATTGGGAGGTGGGAGTCAGATTGACAGACTCTACTCGAGAGTCGAAAGTGATTCAATGGAAAGTAATTTCTGCGGAGAGAGTCAAACGTACCCATAAAGATTCGATTTGATTGAGTAGTTAATATTTCCATGTTGTTTCTTAAGAAGCTTAAAATTTTCACCTTAAAAATATACTAATGGGAGTATGGAACTGTATTTTATCAACTGTAAAGTCACTAATGTTTGTCACAGCTTAATGGTGACTATTTACAAGAAAAACATGTGATTCTATGTATGATTACAATGAAGATAACCCTGGTGAATTTAAAATTTATGTCATGTACATTTTCTGCACACGTCTCTTATTGTACCCTCCAATGTAACCCTCCACGAGCAATAGATAGGTAGTTAGATTCAAAATGAGATAGAATTGCCTATCCATCGTGAAGTAACTTTTATCATGCCAATTTCGTGGTTGACGCTACTTTCTTCCAATTTTTTTCTTCTTTCGTTGGTAGGTTTTAAGCTGGTATCCTCGTGCATTATACTTTCCCAATTTTGCAACTGCAGAGCAATGTGAAAGTATTATTGAAATGGCAAAGGCACAACTTCAGCCTTCAACTTTAGCTCTTCGTAAAGGAGAAACCTTAGACAGTACCAAGGGGATAAGGACAAGGTGAATTATGTTTATTGGATCAAAGTAAAGTTTTCTATAGATACAGATTTTGAAGATTATGATCCTAAAATACTACAAATTTTGCCAAGTTCTTTTTCCCTTTCAAGATTGACCGAAGTGATGGATCTTAGGGGTGTTCTTTGATTTTTTAGTGATGACTCGAAGGCACACATATTTGCATAATATTTTCATTTTCCTTCAGTTCTGGCATGTTTATAAGTGCATCCGAAGACAAAACCAGAACTTTGTATCTAATAGAGGAGAAAATTGCCAAGGTGACCATGATCCCGAGGTCTCATGGAGAGGTAAAAAGTTACCAACATCTAATAACATTGTGAGAATTTTAATTCATTGCAATGACTTATGGGTAAAGAGACCACTGGCTGGTGGCATCTGTTTACTACTAGATGTTTATAATAGATTTCAGTATGAACGGAAATCACTTTGTTTCAGGCGTTTAATGTCTTGCGTTATGAAGTTGACCAAAGCTATCATTCTCATTATGATGCATTCAGTCCCTCTGAGTATGGCCCACAGAAGAGCCAAAGGGTATGCACAACACGAAGCTTTTCTTCTCCGAATACTTTTCCAGTGCCTAACACTTACCATTAAATATAGATATGTGTGTGAGTGTCTTTGGCATGTTTGTTTTACATTTTTTTCCTAAACTGTGGCTGCATACTAAAAATGAGTACTTGAGTACCAATTTTAGTATTTTACCGTGTGGTCTTGACTTTTAAAAGAGTTCCACATTTCGGGCCAATAACCAGGGATTTGGTTAAAATCCAATAGAGAGGTGGAGGGTATGGGAGATACTTTGACCAGAACCTTGACATGGTTAGGCCAAAGTGGGATTAATTTGTTAAAAGTTAAGGATGGGATTTGATGAAAAATTTGATACACAAATTTGATACCTTCATAGTAGACTCAATTTTTATTGACCTTTTACAGGTTGCTTCGTTCTTGTTGTACCTTTCTAATGTTGAGGAAGGCGGAGAAACAATGTTTCCTTTTGAGGTAATAATAATAAGAGTAATTTCTCTAAATAGCCCTTTATAACAAGGGTTTTCCAATATAGTCCTCTATTCAAAATTATTATGTGAGAGCTATTCCATTATAAGTCATTTGTGTACTACATGTGGAAAAAATATTCTTTGTGGTCCTTTATATTTGGAAACTTTTCATCTAAAAGACTTGCTATTAGTTCTCAAATGAATAGGCCCATAAAAATAATAATTTGGAATAGAGGACTATATTGGGAAACTCGCCTGTTATGAAAGATCGTTTTGAGAATTTACTCTAATAATAATACTAAAAACCACACTTGTTATTTTTTTTCCTCCAAATGTTTGTGTTCTTGAAAAGTGTGGTGACTTTGTTCATATACACACAGTATGGACAGAATATGGATGGTAAATATGATTTCCGAAAGTGCGTAGGCTTAAAAGTGAAGCCCCGCAAAGGCGATGGCCTTCTTTTCTACTCACTTTTGCCGAACGGTACGATCGATCTGGTGAGTTCTTAATTTTGCTGTAGAACATTTTTTCCCCACTTTTTAGAATGTTATTTTCTTGTCTCACACTTCATAGTGTGGAAGAGGGATATGTAAACACATTTTAAAAAAAATGATTGCTTTTGGGGATAAGTGGATAATGGATAAATATTATGAGTCAAAACGTTCTTTTTTTCTAATTTGCTTAGAATTTTAAAAAATTGCCTCTCGTTAGATAAATTATTGAGTTGGGGTCTATCTCTCCCCTTTTGAGTAGGGGATAAAGGTTGCGTACCATAGTTTTGAAAACCGGACTGGATAGGCCGGTTCGGACCGGGAACCTGTGAACTGGAGGTCAAATCGGTCCGGTCGCACTAAACCACTGGTGTGAACCGGCCGGGTGAGGNTTTTTTTTTTTTTTTTTTTTTTTTTTGGCAAAATTTGGCCAAAATATTATTCCATCACTAAGGTTTGAACCTTTAACCTCTTGGTTGTTATGCCAAGCACCAATCAAGCAAGAACGTTTTTTGTACAATATTGGTTCCAAGTAGTATATATTCCGTAATTAAAAGAGTAAATATGTATTAAAAGATTTCTTTATTTCTTAAACTAGGATTCTTAACATTTAAAAATAGAAATAATTCTAATACGGAGTATTTGTCGTGAAAAAAAATTCATTTTAATATTTAGGATATTAGACGAAATATAAAAAGAAAAATAAAAAAATCATTATTTTATAAAACTTTTAATGTACTTCTCGATATGTAAATTTTATTTTAAATATGAATTGACTAACAAAATAAATTAAAGTGATTCTAATTCAATCAAATATCATAAAATTTTATGTACATATGAAAGGAGTTATTTTAATTTTATACACTATATATATGTGTGTGTGTGTGTGTGTATATGTGTGTGTGTGTGTGTGTGTTTAAACCACTGGTTCGACCAATGAACCAGTACCTGGACCGGTTCGGTCACCGGTCCGGTTTTAAAACTATGGTGTGTACTTAGATCTTGAACCTACTCGAAAGTAGAGAGGCTGTTTCCAAGCTAGTTTTTTTTTTAAAAAACTACGCCGTTTAGAAAAAGAATTTTGGTCCCTTTTTTTTTGTGTTTGGTAAGAAATAAGATTTGATGCAAGGTCCTCAAAACCTTTCTTATTGTTTTCTTTCCCAATTCATCATTTTCAGACCTCACTTCATGGGAGCTGTCCAGTGATCAGAGGAGTAAAATGGGTGGCGACAAAGTGGATCAGGGATCAAGAACAAGAAGATGAAGAAGACTGAACATATGCCTGCTTCTTCTACACACAAAACATGAATTACTCTGTATAATTTCAACACAAGTTTTTCTGCACTTTTTATACTCGAATTTATTATTCGTATGCTCCACCCGTACTCTAATAAAGTTGACAAATAAGTATTGCAGAGTTAAAAAAGAGAACAAAAATTGAAAGGTGTATCGTTGGAATTTGTTTAGTTGGAATTTGTTTAGACGAGAGAGATATATTGTGTATTTGAACAAAGTATGTGAATTTGCACTGACCTCCCAAAAATGTCCTTTTTGATAAAGGAACTCGTGAGATTTTGAAGAAATATAATGCTTCCCTCCTTTTATACCACTTGAATTGCAAGGATTTCTATATAAGAACATAAGCATTTACTCATAATCACTTTTAGGCAGCATTCTGTTCAATTTATTTTTCCTGCTTATTATTTATTCTTATTATAATTAAATCAGATTAGATCAGACTAGAAATAACTTTATTTATAAATGCAATTAGGTCAGACCAAGTCAGACCAGGTCAAATCTTCAAAAAATTAGATCAGATTAAGTGAATGGAACACAACCTTAGTCTATCTCAAATCAACAAAAAAAATGGAGGAAGATGCCTCTCTCCAACTATAATTGTAGCTTCTTTGTTGCATCAACCACCAGTTAGTCTTCATAATGATTCTCAATGCAGCACACATGTATGTATGTATGTGATGAGGATATGGGCCGCGCTACCCAGGCCTATATAGTTGGGCTCAGGCATGCCTAAGACGGAGGCCCAATCACAAAAGAAGAAGGGACTATATGCCGCAAATAGTATTGCCACATGTGCTACTCGTTCTGAGGAAATAACGACGTGCGTAGTATACAATAAAAGCAGGCAGCGAGTACCGTACCACGTGGCATTGTGACTTAGCCCATTATGTTGAAATTTATGAATATACCCCACCGTCCTTGAGAGGGATCAAATTCTAATTTCTAAGCATTTCATTCTTATTGTAGCCCATTTGGTGAATGGAAAAGATTGTTCTCATATCTTCTGATATTATAACTTTTTTAGGTGTTTAATGAAATATAAAAAAAGAATTCAAATTTAATATATCTAAAATTTTGATATATCACAATTATAACCTATCTCACAATTCTTCTCATTAGAAAATTTTGATATTTGTTGAATTTGAGATATATTAATATGGAAATTTGAAAGGCCTTTCACTCGTCGATTATCCTCCACCGTCGGCTACAACTATCACCACCAACTATCTTCGTTGTCAGCCGCCTTCATTTAAAACTATAAAACCACTAGTTCAATGTTTTTAAATGATTTTATTTCTTATTTCTGATTTAAGAATTCATATTTTTTTTAATACTCCCTCCGTCCCTAAATAAACTGACGTAGTTTTTTAATATGTACGAGTAATTTTTATATCTTATTGATATACTAATTTGTAAATAAAATGATTTCAAAAAGTAAGAAATTTTACTCCGTAACCAGCAATTTGTAATCAAATTGGGAACGGAGGGAGTATCAAATTTCAAAATTCATATTTATCATACTCCGTATTATAGTTACAAAACCTAAAAAACAAGACCATATTTATCATACGGAGTATTATAGTTACAAAACCTAAAAAACAAGACCAATTTTGACAACTTTCTACCTCTACTCTCCCAGTCTCCCACTATCGTCTCGTCTTCAAATATGCTATCCACCTGCATCTTGACTGGTTGAATGAAAGTTTACGTTGACCTATGGATTCGGACTCTGCATCTTCTCTTTCCAGCACGTACAGTTTCTTTCATGAAAAACCTCAAGGGGATTTAGGGTTAGGGTTCCTCAGAGCCCCAGAAAAACCTATCTCTAGACCACCTTCTTCCCAAGAAGTCATTTACTCGCAGGTATTACTTTGCTTTTGGTCTATACACTTACTCATTGCCATGTTATCCCTTCTTCTTCTTCTTCTTCTTCTTTCTCATGTTTCGGAGTATGAATCAAATTCGTATTTTCTATGTTAAGTAGGCTTCACCCAATGCTAACTTTAAAGCGGAGCCGGTGAATGTGGATGGATGTACTTTGCTAAAGGTAATTGAGTAATTCTGTGAGAGTGATTGGAATTTTGTAGTATTTTCTCAAATTGAAAGAATTTAGAAAAAAGCTATGTGTACCCCAAATTGCACACCAGTGTATCACAAGACACATTGTCTAGGCAGACAATGGTTGTTGTCTGTGATATACCGGTGTGCAAGTTGGGGTACAATGTTTGGGGTACCCCTAGCACACCTTTGTATCCTCAAGAATTTATTACTTGCTCGAGTAGTTTTTAGGAGGAAGTTCAACTGACAGTTTAGATTTTTTTTTTAAGGGAAGAGTGAGCACAAAGGATGTCTTTGGGATGTCCGATTCAGATTTAGTCCCAGGGAAGTATGAAGGTTGGTAAGAATTGAATTGACTTTTTGGTTCTTACATACAAATAAAATGAGCACAACACATTGTTTCAAGAAGAATGTTGTGGTGGCACACCAGGTTTGGCACCAAGTGTTTCATAGAAATATACACACAATCATTGTTGTGCATGCGTGTGAAACCTGGTGTCAAACCTGAGGGGCTTATGGAGTTTGCTTCTGGATTCTTTACCTTTTAGGAAGGGGTAAGGCCTGTTAGACAGGACCAAATCAAAGCAAAGTAGAATATTTTATTGATGTAAACTATACAAGAATGTTTGTGTTCTCTAAATATAAATAGAGAACAGACCAACATGACTTTTACTAACCAACACAACTATTACAAACCAACACACCTATTAACAATAGAAACTACCCATAACTGCCTTTTAGAAACTACCCACTGTTTTTTTAATTAATTAAATATGTAAAACACACTAAACGACACCACACTAACTGACTCTTATACTAACTGACTCGAACATTGACTCAATAGCCATTCGGTTATATGTAGTATGTGAACAAACCCGATTATATCTAACAAGGCCTGCATACGGATCCTTGAGGCCCCACTCGTGGGATTTTAGTGGGAAGGTTGTTTGTGTTTATGCTTCAGTGAGAATCTGATATTCTTGGAAATGTTGGATGGGAGCCATAGAATGATTTGATGATAAACATATTTTAGAAAATGTGGATACTTGGTATTGGACTTCTTATCTTACTTACGAAGGTTTGAAGCATTTTGATTTATACCTTTATGCCTATGAACTTAATACTGAAATAGCGAATCAAAGGCATTCTATTTAAATGTTAACAATGACAACAACCCAGTAGAAAAGGGTCTGGGGAGGGTATGTGTAAGCAGATCTTACCCCTACTTGAAAGTATAGAGGCTGCTTCCAAGATTTCTTTTTAAATGTCATGGTTGATAAAATCCAGATCAAGAGCCATAACTGATTGAGGAGATAACAGGAAAAGTTTGTATAATGGGGGTTTCAGCAATTATTTACCATTTTTAGTCCTCAATAAGATACAAATTCATGGCTGGTGTAATTTGTCAGGAGGGCTCAAACTCTGGGAAGGTTCATTAGATCTTGTGAAAACTCTCAACAAAGAAATAAAAGAGAAAAAGCTGTCATTCGCTGGAAAGAGAGTTTTAGAGGTGAGCTCATAATTCTGTGGTGATTCATCATCATCTCCTCTGGAGGCAAAGCTATAATTGCATTCACAGCTTAAAGTGTTAGAATTTGTCTCACACATAACCACACCATACACATTAGATTTCATTTCTTTCATGCGGCGTGCAACTATTACAGTATTACTATTTCTAGTATTTGCATCCTTTTTCCTAAATTCAAATGATGAGATGAACTTTGTGTTAATGAGAAAACTCAGGGTCTGTTTAGTTGAGCTTCTGTTTTTGACTTTCGAACTATACTTCAAAACAGTTCTCACTTATTTTAGTTTTCATATTCCATTGGATAAATATTCTTGTTCCACTTCCAGTTATCTAATTATTCTAATTCCAGTTTTCAGTTTCCTTATTTCATTAACAAACTATGTATAGATTTTGTCAGGTTGAGTTGAGTGATATATGAAATACTTGTGAACATTGATACAGAATCATTATCATTATCATATTTCTGGGTAGATAGTGCTTATGGAAAAGAAAGCATCTTTATGGACCGCATTTGTATGCAATTATGCATTGCTTTGACTTGATGCTTTTAATATATCTGTGAACTCGTCTCCACATAAGAAAGCTTGTCATAAAGTTAAAACAAAGAAGTTGGGGGAGTTGCTTAATGATCACACATGTGTCTTGCACTCAATGAGAAAATTCACAAAAAAAATGGTAAGACTTGTGTTTCCTGGGTGTAACTACATGGTGTTCCGTAGGACTGAGAGCTTGGCAGAAGGGGGATATTTTCCAAATAGTTCCTGCAGATTGGCTGACACAAAAACAGGGTAAGAGGGGTCCAGCCTTGCTGCCGTGTACCGAAGAACAAGAGAGAAGAGATAGAGTGATAAATATAGAGAGCTTTGGAACGTATTTTTACTAGAACCCAAACAACCTTTTAGTTACTGGTTTTTATAAAAAATGCAATAAACAATCAAAGGGAGTACTTGAACAGTTGAGCCTATGATTTCCCCTAGGTTCTACTCATCTTTTATGAAAACATTTTTTCGGTTCATATTATTTCTCTTTCATTTGCATGAATTCCAACGACACTATATGACCTGAATGACCGTGCCGGTTCCAATGTAGAACCTTATTTTGGGAAATCGGGAACGAGGGAGTATGATGTAATCAGGAACGAGTGGTATTTTTATAGCTGTTCTTGTCTTCCATAATGAATGCAACTAATTGTTTTTGTTATGTTTCAGCTTGGTTGTGGTCATGGACTGCCTGGGATATTTGCTATCTCGCAGGTATATGCCTGAATTTGATTTTATTTAAGGGAAATCTATGGTATTAGTCTCCCAATTGTTCTCCACTTTTCATTTTAGCCACAACACTGGCCGTAGCATAGTTAGGATCTATTCTTTTGATTTCTAACTCTTAACATCCCACATTTTTTTAACTCCTTTCAGTTTCTTCCAACTCTTTCCAATTTCTTCCAACTCCTTTCAATTTCTTCCAACTTCTTCCAATTTTTTTCCAACTCTTCTTAGTTCTAACTCCTATTTTTTCCAATTCTTTTCAGTTTCTTCCAACTTCTTTCTGTTTTTCCAACATTTGCTTAAAAAATTTAGATGTATTTTTAATGAAATTCTTATTAAAACTATCAGAATTATCATTATTACTATTATTATTATTATTGTTACTTCTATTATTATTATTATCAATTTTATTTGAATAAAAAATGAAGGAATGTCACGATTTGTGTAGGAAAAAATAAATTTTGGCTACGATTTAAGTTAACATAGAGTATTACATAATATTACATAATTATGTTTTTATGAAACAATATTAGCTTGTATTGAATCTTAGTTTCTTAATTACATTGTTGAATATTTACAAAATATTTTTTTATTTTTTTATTAAATAATCTATTTACAAGTATACTTTATAAAAAATTCAAATAAAAGTACAATACGCTTTCGTTGAGCAAGATTGTCTTAAATAATACGGAGTATACTATATTAAACTTTAAAAATAATGTCACATTTCTTTGAAAAATATTAGACCATCATAGAATGAACCCAGATCTAATTTTCTAGATCCCCTCCCTACCTAATTTAGTTAATCTCTTCAATAAAATTGAATTTCACTAAATAATGTACGCTCTTTTTTTCTTCTAAATAATTAGGCCAATTATATCGTGTATTGAGATGTACTTATTTGTTATTTTGTAAATATGTATATATTGGATGTACAATAAATACTACCTCCGACCCATAAAAATATTATGTGTTTGACACTTTGACTTCCAAAGAGTTAAGAAAAGTGTTAAAAAGTGAAAAAATACTACGTATGTTTTTGGGACAAATAAAAAAAAGAAAGAGTGAAGTTTTTTGCAAGACGAAAAAGAAAAGGATTGATTATTTATGCCAATTTTTCTTTCAATTAAGATTAATAAAAAATAATGCATCTTTCATTCTACTATTTTTATAACAATGGTTAACAACATACAAATTACAAAACAAAAAAATATACTATTGATATTGATGTATTGTGAAAAGATGCAAGAAAAAGTAATCATTAGCGTGAGTCAAAAAATATTGTTAAATATGATTTGAAACAAAAATAGTGTGACCTAGGAACAAATAAAAAGAGAAAAAGATTGAAATGAATTGAGTATAAATTATTTGAAACAAAAATAGTGTGACCTAGAAACAAAATCCTAGTTTTTTTCCAACTCATTTCAATTTCTTCCAACTTCCTCCAGTTTCTTCCAACATTCAACTCTGTTTATACAACCCAAAATAACAGAGCCTTAGTCCCTAATTTTCTTCGAATGTTGCTTTTTGTCTTTCCGTTACCATGCTTAGCTAGTGTCCCTCCAAATATTGGTTGTCATCGTGGGAGTCAGCTTTTTCTTTTTTTTGAAAAATATATCACACGAAGCATAATCCCAAAAACATATACCTCCTATTCAAAATTGTCCATTTAATTACAAGCTTGACTGGTTGCCCCCTGTTTAAGGCATTTCTTTATGGTGGCATTAGGGGGCTGCTGCTGTGCACTTCCAGGATTTTAATGCCGAGGTCTTGCAGCATCTCACCATTCCAAATGTAAAAGCCAACACCCAGCAGATGGCCATATCATCAGAAAAATGCAATTCTGAGACCGAACTGCGTTACTTTGCAGGGGACTGGAGTGACGTTCATTGTGTTCTACCACACGTACTTCCTGAAGATAATGGGGGCCAAACTGTTGAAGGAACTTTTGGTTATGACATAATTCTCATGGCTGAAACAGTTTATTCGATTTCCTCACTCCCCAGTCTCTATAAACTTGTCAAAAAGGTTCCCTTTATTCATGTACTCAGTGTTGTTTTTGAAATGTTTCTTTATTATTGAGCTGACAGTGTTTTCTTCAAATACTCCAGTGCACATCTAGTCCCCATGGAGTTGTCTATGTATCTGCTAAGAAACATTATTTTGGAGTTGGTGGTGGATCAAGACAATTTGTTTCCATGGTGGAGAAAGATGGTATGTTTTCTAACCAATGTGTTTGATTTGAACTGGGTTTTGTTGTAATTGGTTCTTTTCTGGAATACAACATTTAGTTCTTAGAGAAATGCTTGAAAGTTGAAACCTAGTACCCAAGTTCATGTTCTCTTTCTTTGGTTTTGTTTTTTAATGTTGCTACCTGTACATTTGCATCCCCCGTTCAAAAGGAAATGAGAATTTAAAATAAAAGACGAATCAAAATAATGCTTTCATCTTGTACTATCATAATGATATTGAGCTCTACTTTCAACAGGTGTTTTTGGAGCTGTTCTTGTAGCCGAGGTTGCAGATGGTTCATCTAACGTTCGAGAGGTGTGGAAGCTTCATTTCAAGTGAAACGGAACTTGAATGGATTTAATTGGGGGAATGTTGGAGGTCAAAATATTTGATTTACCTCTTATTTCCTACTAGAGCTCGAATGATTCAGCACTGGCATCTTTCTCAACTATCTTGTCCATTCTATGACTGCTGCCTCTTGATTTTCACTTCATATTTTCGAACAAGATGAACTTAGAGGCATTTCCAAAATTAGAAAAATTTGTTAAGCACCTTCTGGAAAAATTGTCACTTTGAAAAAGAACACCTTATCTTGTTAGTTTTGATGGATTTGAACAACCAAACACCCATTTGATATTGATGCTGGCTCAAATTTTAGTTTTGATGATACATGATTAGGGGATGGTGTTTTTTTGGGGAGGTTGAAGAGGTGGCGATTCATTTCGCACCGCTGGTTGGTGGTGGGCTAGTGGTTGTAGTCTTTGGGGTATACGTACGGACTTTGTGGTGATCAACCTCAAATAAGGAACTGAAACTGTGTTGATTCTTAATTGGTATGTTCTTATTTACAGCTTGTGTGGTGATTGATTTTTTGAAGGATTTCATGAAATTTAGAGAAGGCCAAGTTGGCATTGCCTGAGCCAGTTTGGACATCCAAAAGAGATCAAATGGGTATGCAGAGATTGAAAGATGCCTGGACAAAGCAACTCTTCCAAAGGATATTTTGTCTATTTATAAAACATGGAAATTCTCTGGCAATATCGACAACAATGCCTGAGACCCACCTTATTTGAAAAGACACGACGAGCGAGAACGCCTACGAAGGTGTTGGCTACGCAAAGATCTCAGACTCGTGTTGTATCATAGCCATCGTAATTGCATCACCAAAGATTGCTTGTCTCTTCAGTTGATGGGAACAACTTATGAAGAGGATGTGGAAGAGATGGTACACCTTGAATCCATATATATGTATATAGTGTTTCATGTACGTCTAACAACGGGTTAATACCTATTCAGGAGTAATAAATGGGCAATGTTAGGGGTACACCAACATTGGGTACCCCATATGTACACCAAGCCAACACAGACAGACAAAGACACAAAATGTCTGTGCAGCACAGACATTTTGTGTCTGTGTGTGCCTGTATTGGCTTGATGTAAATATGGGGTACACCACCCCATGTTGGTGTACTAGGTTAATTCGTAATAAATTGATTACGACCTGTCCTCTCAACAACATACATTTTTATTTACTAAAAAATGAAAAAAACCCTAAGAAAACTAATTTAGTTCAAAAAAACAAAAATTAGCCGTCCAATGTTAAAATTAATATATTCAACATAACATCAATAAATACAAATACAATAAAATTCACAATTCAATTCAACACACTAAAATTTTAAATTTTCTAAAAATTATTTTAATCCGTTTTAATAATTTTGCTGGAAATCTAAGGGATGAAAGGCCCTTCCCCCACCCCCTAAATCCACCCGTAGGTAGGGGTCTTCATTCAGATCTCTCCGGTTTGGTCCTTTGAATATTTGAAATTTTCTAGCATAAAACCTAGTCCACATTCGATTCAAAAATTTTAGGATATTCAAGATCTGAATATCCATAATTTCATATCAGGTCAATGGAATATCCCAAATGAATTTTTATTTTTAGTTTTTGAATATTAATTTTTTTTAATGATCCTAAAAAATACCTTGGACAAATTTTTATTTCTTAAAGTAGTAGAACTCAACTCAAACACTAGACTTGAATTTAAAGTCAAATGTGTTCTAAATTACTCCCTCCGTCGACAAATAAACTTTACATTGCGCGTTACGATGTTTGACTGAAGTTATTTTCAACTCAATTTATATGAAAAATGGTGTAGAATTGAAAAATAAAAATTACATACTAAAAAACTATATCAAAAGATCTACAAAACTAGAGGTGACATGATTTTATTATTTTATCAAATGTGTGACGAAAATAGGCCAACAAAGTGAATAAAGTTTGACCCTATGAATAGTGAACGTAAAGTTTATATTTGGACGGAGGGAGTATCATATTTTCCTTGAAAGTATTATCAAAGTTTTAATTTTATGAATACATGGAAACCAAATTAAATATCCACACAATGAACAAATTAAATGAAGTATTGGGAAAATGACTAAGAATAATTTTTTTTTATTTGAGCTTTGATTTAGAGATTTATGATGATAAAAATGATTTGAGATTAGGTTATATGAGTTTGGTTTTATATTTATTTATTTTAATAAATATACTCTATATCTGTGGATATCCAAAATTTTAATATATAATTTCATATCTGATCCAATCTTCTCAGATATCCGATCTGAGAAGCTAAACAACCAGATCGTATATCTATTTGTCGGATTGAATCGGCTCAGAACGTGGACGAATTTTCCGGATCGGATTTTTTTGAACACCCATACCCGTTGGTGGAAGGGTATGTATGGCGCTTTAGATTCAAAAATATAATACTTACAAAAAAACCCTAAAACACAATTAAAAAATGGTAGGGTTCGGGTGACACTGAAGGTAAAATTAGTGTCATCCGATGACACGACCCAATTAGTGTACTTATCTATCTGATGCTCTGTTTGTAGCATCGATAATTTCACCTACTAACTTTTCTTAAACCGGTGGCGGACCCAGGAATTTCGGTGAGTGGGTTCACATTTTGTGCACAAAAGAAAAATGTTGATATTTGTATGGCAATAAATTTAAAACAAGGTAAAAAAGTATCAATAAATAGCATTCTGAGATAAATATTGTAAGTTGTATGTAATATTTTTGAAATACTGTATAAAAAATATACTACGTTCATTGCTTTAACCAAAAAAGAACAAAAACTAAACAACTAAAATAATAATTCTAGAAATTTCTTCAAATACTAAGTATATTTTAGGAATCTTTTTAAAACAATTAAACTTGTTCATACATTTCAAAAAAAATTGAAAATTTTATAATTAAGTTTCGTAATTAAAGTTAAATCAGTTTTCCAAATCTAAAAGAATTAAAACATAAAATTCTACACAATTATAAAAGGTGTTCTCTATTCCATTTTCAAAAAAAAAAAAATAGCACCTAATCACATATAAATATACTTTTCTTGGATGCCCTTAGTCTACATATAATAGCTAATTACATACTACTACTCAGGGCCGGCCCCGAAAAATGAAAAAATAAAATTGGTCCGGTCCAAAATTTATATTTTGTGCCCTATTTTATATTTTTAAAATACTTTTGCTTTAAAATTATTAACAAATTTAAAAATATGGTGTCCTAAATTTTAAGGTGCCCTGTGCGGTTGGCCACTTTGCACACCCTCCGGGCCTCCCATGCTACTACTAATAAATAATTTTTTTTAGAGTGGGTGCAAGTGACCCCACTTGCACAACCCTAGGTCCGCCCTGCTTAAACCCTTCACCCGTCTCTTTGGTCGTCGATTCCAATGAGAGATGTAGGAGGCTGGAGCTAGAGACAAGGAAGGACTGGGTGGAAGGTTTAGGAGCTAACAATATGGTCAATTGGGCTATTGTGATCAAATTGTTACTCGAACGTCACCCAATACACAATGGTCATATATATTTTGGTATGATGTGCTAAGTTGATCGATGTGAGTGGCATGAACCATACTCATATGTCGTGGATCCTGTTAAAAGCTAGAGTCCAAGAAACATATATAATAATGTGATAATATAATATTCAATTCATATCCCCATCAACTATATATAGAATATATGACGACAACTGCATGCATGCATGATCATATATATATGGTGTATATATATATATGCATTATACATTGAAGCACGCAGATAAACCTCGTGTCACTTCTTAGCTTGATTGATTATTCTCCATGATAAACATGCACACATTATATATATTATTGGTTCTCAAATCTCCGCCGTTCCTTTTCCGGAGTTGACGACCAGAGAAACCCCCAAACACTACACAACAACCTAACTTATTTTTTAGGTTACTCTCCTTACAGAATCACAATTTATATATTGTTATTAGTTTTTTGAAGGAAATATCTTAACATTATTTGTTGAGTATGTCTTAATATTATGATATTACTGTCCTAATTTTTTTTAAACTTTCTTACATTCTCAATTCATCATATGTCTAGGTATTAATTTTAACCAATTTAATATAAAGCTTCAAACTTGTGTACACGTCCCCTCACATGAAACCGTTGCTGCTTCAAGGCTTGCATGTGAAATTTTTTGTTTTTTTATCTGGGTCACTGGGTGGGGCTGAGTTTTGAATCTGTGGCCTTTTAGTCAAAAAAGGCTTCGATACAATGTTGAAGAACCAACTCAACCAAAAGCTCAAGTTTGAAGATAGGATCTTGGTAATTTTTTAGATGCTTACATGATATTGTCAAACTTATTCTCTTTTCTTCAAACTTATTTTTTTAGATACTTACATGAAAAGTTCTTTTTTAGATTAAGTGAGTGGTATTACTTACTCGCATCGTCCCAAACATATCGTTTTAGTTACTAGGAGTACGTACTCTCGCATCTCGATAACTTATGTTTATTTGTATGTTTTCATTAATTACTCACGTATCCCATACCAAAATTATGGGAAACTCCCTATATAATACAGTAGTAAAAAGCTATGAAAATAGCAAAATAAGAACTTTAAGTCTTTTGAAACCAAAATAAGAGTTCACACTGTCATTGTTATCCTGCCACACTCACCACATTGTCTCATTGCAACTGCACACTATCATTGACACACTGTCATTTATCACTGTCGGCCACTACCGCCGCGGACTGCGGATAATCGAGTGATCACACTAACATATAACATTGTCATCACTTTTTTATCACACTGCCAACATATATTCTTACATCACACTATCATTATATTCCTATTTTGGCTTTAAAAGACTTAGGACTTCTTTTTTGGTGTTTACATTTTTTATGCTTCTATCCAAGATGATTTCTTCAAAATTATCGTTATAGTTACTATTTTGGTTTCTAGATAACTTTTGTTAATTTTCATATTGTTAAAATTCTGGTGGGCCGAGAATAACGGGTGGAATTTTGGGTAAAATTAACCACTTGCATATAAAGTTGGGATCTAGTATTATAACCCAGAAGCTTAAGCTGATATGTAGGGTTTCACCCTTCAATATATGCTAGTAGTATTCATCTTTTATTTTTCCGATGTGGGAACTCCAGTACTCCTCTTCAAGTGCTCACTAGTCTGACCTAGTTAACACTTGAACAAACGGGTTTAGTATCTCAATCTCTTATAGCTAGCCCACACAAGAGGCGGTGTCATCTCAATCTCTTTTTAGCCACCTCAACTCAAACCACGGACGGGTAGCCCATTTATTTGCTAAACCCACGTCCAACAACAATGAAGAATCGAACCTGGACTAGACCTGCTCTGATACCATGTTAAAATTTTGGTGGGCCAAGAAAAATGGGTGGAGTGTCGGGTAAAATTAACCACTTGCATTTAAAGTTGGAATCCATTATTCCAACCCAGAAGCTTAAGCTGGTAGGTAAGGCTTCACCCTTCTATATGTGCTAATAGTATTAATCTTTTATTTTTCGGATGTAGAAACTCTAACACTAATAGAATTTAAGATGAGGTGCGGATAACTGGATTGGGCCATAAGACAATTGACCTGAACCACATTAAAAGATTGAATCCAATTGATTACTTAGATCAACTCAAGAGCTTACATACCTATTATTTTCTTCACACTTTTCCAGTGTGGGAGACTCTCTAACACTCCCCCTCAAGTGGACAACCGGGTCATTTTGAATCTAACTGGTTGACTACTTGCAAAAAGACTCTCATTCCCTTGATATTTTTTAG